AACCTCGCTAACAACCTCGCTAACTGTGAAACTGATGTTGTTTCAGGCCGTGATAAGAGGATACCTGGACGACCCCCACTCTCCCCTCGAATGGACCGGCCCAGAGGCCAAGGGCCCCGACCCATGCCCCCCCCGGGAGACAGGTTGGTGCAACATTGAGCATGTTATTGCTGTAGGACTCTGATATCTGTCCTTTACACTTTATAATTCACAACAGAAGTCAAAAGGAGTTTTTAAAAAAGGGTATTCAGCTGGAAGTGTGGAAATTCTAAAGTCAAATTTTCTCTCTGCCTGCTCTTCCTTATCAACAGCAGTGATCATGATTGCTCAGGCGAAACACATCAGGGTTTTCAGAGCATGAAGTATGTCTGACCACACTAAAATGCGGAACCTGTCAAACAAGTGGAAGCACACAAGTATTACATCATCTGTGCACGTGTCATGATATTCACCGGCTCTTGCACAAATTCCCCAGTATGAACTAGGTGCTTTGTAATAGGGCCTAGTTCATAGTATAGTACAATATAGTTTTGAGCATCCACTCTTTTATTGAAATTTGTGTTTGCAACTCAAGTTTTTTATAGTTTTTTAAGACGGTTCCTACAAATGATTGTACTGTTATAGCTAACACAGCTATGTGGAATTTCACCTAATCCGAAATTTGAAGTAAGGCTGGATGATATTTCAAATGAATTAACTAAACTAAAATAAAGTTAATTCCCTTCCTCAGAAATAAAAAAAATCTTTAATTTGATAAAGAAAATATATTTAATCTTCAATCAAATCGTCAGTTGAGTGTATGGTTACATCCCTAATCACCACAGTCCTGAAAACTGTGATGTCATTACGTAAATGTTACACAAGTTATGCTACGTAAGCGTAATTGTAATAGTCACAATACATAAAAAATTGTAAGAAAATCAGTCGTGAATTGTATCGAATCATGAGTTGAGTGTATCATTTGAGCCATGACAGTCCCGTAAACTGTGATGTGAATAGTTAGACGTACGTATATTCACACCCACTGCAGGGACTGCCATGATTGGTGTCTCTGCTTGTCTCCGGGTGGCTAGCATCCTAGTGCTATCTCATAGTGAATTTAACAGTTGCATCTGAGAGGAACTGAAACTAGGGCTGTTTATTGCTAATTGCTAATCTGGTCATAGGATACATATCACAATACAGGGGTTACGATTCAATATTCTGCAATATATTGCGATACTATAAGCAATGTGATCTATTGCCATTTGTTTTAAATCTAGTTCCAGGCAAACTTTCATAGTATAAAGAACACTCCACCATATGCATTAAATCTGAGTGAAAAAAAAATTGTTTATGCAACCATAACAGTGGGATTTGTATTTATCACAGTCCCTGTAACATCCAACATCATAGCCCTCAATTTATAACACAAGACAAAGTATCGATACGCAAATTTATTGATATTTTCTTACACCCCTACAAAGTACAATCTCTGGTTAGAAGAGTTGACAGCATGATAGTCAACTGAACAGAGTGCTGTTTCTACTACTATTTTTTGGTCAAACTATGAAGCAGTCTTGAACCCGAGTGTCTTTTCCATTAAAGGAGAAGGCTGGACTATTCTGTATTCTGTATAGCTACTGTCAGCAAATCCCATTACCAGACCAAAACCAACAAAGTGTCAGTACTTCTCTCAGTGCTTCCCTGACTTCCCTACCCTGTCTGTGGCCCATTGATTCCTACTGTAAACATAAATTCTTCAAAATAAATCAATCACAAAGTAAACACTTTTTAAAAAGGCTCAGTATTTTAAACCACATGGATAGTTGCGCCAGCTGTTCATCAATACATCACTCAGTTTGTGTGTAAAGTCCTTAGTAAATTATTTACTCAGTGGGTTTGCACCTATAAAACTTTGGCTAAGACTTTAATTGTTTGATTGTTGTTCAATTGTCAGTTTCTAGAAAACATTAGCTGTCCAATCCAAAAACAATCAACTATGTAAACAAGTGCCAAGCCTTTGTACGTGTAGCTATGTAGAAATGTGTGTTTCACATTTACTAGTATTCATACAGCTCATGACTATGAAATATCTGATTAATATTACTCAACTGATCATATTAGTCATGCAGTCAGATATTTTGTAATTTCACATATATAGAGTTCTTGTGAAATTTTAAAATCTTCCCATTTTCATCAGGTATTGGGTCAAATGTGTCATCCACGTTCCATATTTTTTTACATCCTAAGTGAATGCACCTGTGATATGTGGCAATTACTGGGTGTAAACCTTTAGTCACAACTTCTCTTGACGTAAAAACTACCTGTCTGAATCTGTTTTAATTATTGATCTCTGTGTAGTAAACAATTACTTTACCACCAGGATTGGTTTAAGAACCGTTGGCACAAAAAAATGTTTTGCGCTCGTTTGTGTTCATGGTAATGAAGGA